TCATAAAACTAATAATAATAATAATATTGAGCCAGGGCAGTTAAAGTGGTCTCAAACTGGATTATTTTTTCAATGTTGATGTAGATTCAGGTCCAAAACACACTACAGAAATAATCCAGTTTGAGACTGCTTTAACTGCCCTGGCTCACTACTAGGGAATCCTGGGAATTGGAGTTCATTGCAACACCAGAGCTTTCTGATAGAGAATGCTAAATGTTTCACAAAATTACAGTTCCCAGGATTCCCTGGAGCAGTTAATTTGGTCTCAGACTGGATTATTTTTGCAGTGCTGATGTAGACTTAGGTCTAAAACACACTGCAGAAATAATTCAGTTTGAGATGGCTTTAACCGCCCTGGCTCAGTGCTAGGGAATCCTGGGAATTAGGGTTTATTGTGGCACCAGAGCTCTGTCAGAGAAGGCTAAATGTCTCACGAAACTAAAGTCAGGGCAGTTAAATTGGTCTCAAACTGGATTATTTCTGCAGTGTGTTTTGGACCTATATGACCGAAAATCTAATTTTTAGCCCGAAGTAATCCAAACCCATTGAATCAATTCTTGATTGATTCAATTCAATTGATTGAGTCAAAGGGTTTGGGTTACTTGGGGCTTATTGTTAGATTTTCAATCATATAGGTCCGAAATACATATAGACTGCTTTAACTGCCCTGGCTTAGTGCTGTGGAATCCTGGGAATCGTTTCTTATGGCACCAGAGCTCTCTGACAGAGAAGGCTAAATGTCTCACAAAACTAGAGTTCCCAGAATTCTGTAGTATTGAGCCAGGGCAGTTGAAGTGGCCTCAAACTGGATTATTTCCACAGTGTGTTTTGGACCCAAGTACATTAAAACTAAATTAAAATTAAAATTAAAGTGGCTGCTGCAGAAAGCAGTGAGTTGGAGTGATGGCACAGCAAGGTGATAACGCTCTCTCTTTCTGTATATGTTGTATTTGGCCATTGTCTCTCAAGTTATTTTATTTTATTTATTTATTTAGAGTATTTATATGCTGCTCTTCAGCCACAAAGTGGTTTACAGATTGCTAATTTGATTGTTCCCTGTGTGTGTGTCTTGCTTTCCTTCAAGTTGTTTTTGAATTATGGCAACCCTAAGATGACCCTATCATGGGGTTTTCTTGGCAAGTTTCTTCAGAGGTCGTTTGCCACATTGCCATCCTCTAAGACTGAGAGAGTGTGACTTTGCCCAAGGTCACCCAATGGGTTTCCATGGCCGAGCAGGGATTCAAACTCTGGTCTGTAGTCCAACGCTGAAACCACTACCCCATGCTGGCTCAGAGCGGTTTACAGATTGATAATTTGACCGTTCCCTACCCTCAGATTTACAATCTGAAAATACATGACCCTAGGCTGCAATCACAGGGCTCAGTGCTATTGAATTCTGGGAATTGTAGTTCATGGTGGCACCAGAGCTTTCCTGGTCTCCAGAGTGGTAGTCCAACACTCAAACCACTACACTGCCCTCCAAGAGGTATTGGGAGTCTTTCGGGTTACATAGGGCTCCATAGAAGAAAGTGCAAAGGCAGGCTTAATGTTGAACATAAAGAAAACTAAAATAACGACTCAAGTTCAAGCTAGACAATGTAGAAATAGGAATAGTAAAAGAATCCCCATACCTAGGATCAAACATTGATAGAAATGGGAACTGCAGTCAGAAAATCAGAAGAAGACTAAGAAAGGGGAGGGTGGCTATGAAATAAATAGAAAGATTCTAAAATGCAAAGGTACACAATAGAGAACAAAAGTCAGAATCATACAAGCCATTGTATTCCCTATTACCATGAATGGATGCGAGAGCTGAACAGTTAAGAAAGATGATAGGAAGAAAATCAATGCATTTGAGATAATGTAGTGCTGGAGAAGAGTGCTGAGGATCCCATGGACAGCCAAAAGGACAAACAAGTGGGTCCTAGAACAGATCAAGCCAGAGATATCCCTAGAAGCCAAGAGGATAAGACTTAGGCTGTTGTATTTTGGACACATGATGAGAAGGCATGAATCATTGGAAAAGACAATAATGTTAGGAAAGGTGGAGGGAAGTAGAAAGAGAGGAAGGCCACACGCTAGATAGATGGACTTTATTAAAGAGACCACGAATATGAGTTTGAAGGAGTTGGACAGAGCAGTAGAGGACGGGGGGCCTGGAGATGTCTCATCCATAGGGCCACCATGGGTCGAGACTGATGCGAAGGCA